TGAAGCAGCGGGTCGCTGAGAAGCTGAACGTCCCCGTGCGCCAGCAGCGGCTGCTGTTCAAGGGCAAGGCCCTGGCAGGTAACCAGGGACAGGAGACTCCCAGGGAGCCCCGTCGAAGTCGGGGGACAGGGTGTGCAGGACGAGCCTGGTCAGCAGCGTGACAGAACGGGGCGCTTGCTCCTGGCACCAAGAGCCTGCCTACCCTTGGGGAGGTGGCCGAAGCCACCACAGCCAGATGCCGCAGTGCTCCGCTCCAGGGGGCGGCGTCACTTCCCGGGGCCACCCGCACAGAGCGGGGAACGGAACCCCACCAATCTCGTTTTGGCAGATGGAAAACGACTGTCCGATTACAGCATTGGGCCGAATTCCAAGCTCAACCTGGTGGTCAAGCCTCTGGAGAAGGTGCTACTGGCAGAAGGCCCTGCCCAGAGCCCTGCCGGCCCGCCGCCCCCGCCCGCCTGGCAGCTGATCTCCAAAGTCCTGGCCCGCCACTTCAGCGCAGCAGATGCCAGCAGGGTGCTGGAACAACTGCAGAGGGTGAGAAGAACCCCTGGTGGCACTGCAGCCCCCATCTGCTCCCAGTCCCCACTTTCTCAGCTGTTCCCCGCCGCCTGCCAGCACCCCTGAGTCTTCCTGGCCTTCTCTCCTCAGGATTATGAGAGATCACTGAGCCGCCTGACGCTGGATGACATCGAACGCTTGGCCAGCCGCTTCCTGCACCCGGAAGTGACTGAGGCTGTGGAGAAGGGCTTCTGCAAATAGCATTCTTGGAGTATGGGGGGGCCCCCAGGCCGGGCCATAGCTGCATGTTGCATTAAATGTGTTCTCTGTTGCAGTCTGGCTCGTGATCCTACCAGCTGGCGTGTGCCCGGCTCTTGCTGGAGCACTAACCTGGGTTTGCCCCACAGCCCATGCAGGAAGTGAGACAGCACAGCAGATGCACTAGCCATGGGGTGGGCGAGCAGTAGCCTGAGTCCAGCCGGCTCCCAGAAGTGCCTCAGTGTGAGAGAGGAGAAAAGGCCGTTGGCAGGCTGTGGAGAGGGACAGGCTAAACGTTTTGCATGTAGTCTGCTGAGAGCCCTCATGTGATGATTCTGCTGCCCAGTCTTGTCCCCTGACCTCTTGCGGGTCTGGCAGAATCCTCAGCTTACCTCCACTGGAGGCCAAGTGACAGCCAGCTGGGCCCCCTCGGCTGCAGTGGCCAGCTTTTCTCTTCTTGTGGAAGAGAAAGCAGGTTGGGGACTGAAGAGTCAGAAGGTCACCCAGGTGTACAGCAGGACTTCACGTGAGTCCCTGTGCCACTTTGGTGCCCAGATCACTGACTGTCCAGTCAGGGCTGCTCCTCCAGGCTGAGTCAATGTCCTTTGTCCTTACCACAGCCCAGGGTGGGACTCTGCAGGGATCTCCCCAGCCCACCCCCATGTTCAGTAAACAGACAGAAGGCAAAAGTGAAGCTATGGCACACAAGGCTCAAAGAGCAGCTCAGCCCTCAGTGACAGCTCTTCACAGGGAACCATGCCTGCTTGTCTCCTCCTGTGGCAGCAGGTGGCTCTCACCGGTTAGGGTGAACAGGTGAGTCGGTAGGGCAGTGTCAGAGCCAGGACAGCCTCAGCCTCCGGACTAGCTTGACAGCAAGGAAGGTGGATGCTTCCCCCACCACCTGTGCACACTTTTCATGGCATGAAAGGAAACCTCAGGGCATGGGCCAGGTGGCACTGGTTCTCCATTTGTCTTACCCTGTCTAGGGGTGCGAGAGATCATCTAAGCACCTGCTCCATGGAGGAGGCCCCCAGGCCAGGAGAGACTGGAAGGAAGCCATGGGCAGGATGCATCCCAGCCTAGCGCCCAAACCCAGCAGCCACTCTGGGTGCCTTCCCTGCCCAAGGCCCTCCTGCCTGGGCCTTGTGGGGAAGACTCTGGGTCCCAAGTGGGGAAGATTCACAGAGGCCTGCTGGGTGAAGGTTTGGAAGGGCAGACAGAAGCCCTGGCCCTCCCCAACAGCAGGGCTACAACTCCCACGCAGCAGGGACCCACTCAGGAGCAGCTCAGGTGACAAACTTCCCAATGCTCCGTCTCTTTTGAGTCAGGAACTGTATTTGAATGTGTGAAAACGTCAGTAACACCAGAGGTGAAGGTGAGACTTTGACTTCTATCCCAAAGGAACTGTGTAAACCAGGCTGCCTCAGGTTTCCATCACGGTTTGACAGTAAAGGCGACTAGTTTGATCAGTAAGGAAACTTGATGACTTGTGCAACTGGAAAGCCCACAGCTGTTGGCAGCGGATGAACGATGTCACCTGAGCCCCAGGTTCCTTCCACCGCACTCTGCATTCTCCAGTATCTGCTTCACCACATGAGCACAAGATGGCCAGCTGCCCACAGTGCCCGCAGGCCCTTGTGCACTGGCAGTGAGGACCACCTTTTGTCTGGTGTAGCTTCTGTGTCAGATGTCCCCGGCCAATAAACACTTGTCTCTTTGGTCAGAACTGGGTCGTGTGTGCAATCCCTTTGGCCGGGTTGGGGGATGGGGCTGCCTCCCTGGAAACTGAGGAGGGCTGCCAGATGTCCTGAACAGTGGCCACAAAAAGCAGCTGGGGGAACCAGCAGTTAGCGTAATGGCTATGTCGCTGGACTCCCACGTAGTCGACTGCGGTTCGTGTCCCGGACCCGGTGGCTTAGAACTCACGCCGGGCGCGTGTGCGTGCGTGCCCGAGATCCCGAGAGGAGAATGGAGGAGAAGGGATTGTGGCGTGACCATTCCCCCTGGGGGGTGATTTCTCGCTTTCTGTCTCTCTGTCTCTCTCTCTCTCTCTCTGTCTGGCAAGCGCACGCGCCCTA